TCTATTGTACAGTAGATGTACAATGTCGTGGTTTAGACAAGATATTCACTTTGCGCGAAATCAGTGCATGCAGCATCCCCCAAGCACAAGCGCGAAAGTTTAATGTTTTTTCGATTGTCTATTAACATTTAAAACAGCCTTAAACTTGTCATAGACATAGACCAGTTATCTATAGTCGTTTGTTCGATGTGATTATTATACAAAAAAGCTTTTTTCTTGCACGGAAAGATTCTTCTTTGCCTTGTGTATATTTCTTTTGATAATTGCAAAATGGTCTTCTATAGGATTCAGATCTGGGCTGTTGGCAGGAATAAAAATAGATTGAAGGCCACACACAGAGAGGCTGGCTGTTTACCAAAAAGTTAGATTACGGTTGTACTTGTAATCAAACTTACACCATTTTGTATATATGGAGAGAAATTTCTTTTCACCACATTCCTTTGTAATTATTTCGGAAGTTCGAATGCAACAATCTCAGATTGTTCGTGAAATTCTGCTTAACACTTTACGAATTTCAGTGTTTTTATTCATTTGTCCCTAAATACCGATTATGTTCTAACTGCTTACCAAAAACTTCAAAATAAGATATTTCTTAAAAGCATCTACCAAAATAATGAGTTTTTAAAGATTTCTTCTTACACAGCTGTCTGTTTGGGTTATGGTTCTAGAATACCCCATATATGTTAACTCATTGCGGAGAAAACCGAATGTCCACAGCAAAAGTCTCAAATAAATACGCCTATGATTAGTTCAGAAACTGCCTATAACAAGTTACCTCTTGAAAAAAGCTTTAATTAGATACTTCGGCGTCAAATATCTGTGTACTTTACCTGTTTTGAAGATAAAGTCAAAATCAAACTGGGAAGCGCTAACCAGTTTTTTGATTTACCTAAAAATTAGGAATAAATATTCTGCTGAAATGGCGGCCAATCAGAAATGGTTTAAAACGCTTGACAAAAGTGTATAATGCCAGCAGCTCGCGTCTGTACGTACAGTATTTGCGTTCGGCTTTTGTGAGGGTCCTACTTGCGAAGTAAATGGGCCTTTTCACGCCGGTGTCGTCACGTTGTGATAGGACGCCGCCGATAGCGAAACCGCTCGCATCTGTATCGAGGATAAATTCGGGGCGTCAGGGAGAACGTTAGGTAACATCAGTACTGGGTCGCTAGTGAGGCATATTAACTTACTTTTCTATATATAGCGGAGTAGTTTACAGTATATTTTTTACTTCTGGTTTCCGTTCTTTGATTGCAAAAGCACAAGAGTGACAAAATATATGCTTCGATATTTCTGAATCTGATACTCTTGTGCGTGTTCCGTTTCAAGTCTTTATATAAGTTGATTCTCTTCTATATATTGAAAATTTTTAAACGCGATTCGTTTATGGCGTTACAGAGGAACCTTCTGACGTTTCGCGAAATTTCATATATATGATTGATTACGGTCCCTACTTTCGGCGTAGCAAAACAACTTGCGGTCCTATAAGTTTTTACTTATCTTTATGGCACGAAACGTAACAGATTTGCTAAACAGAATTTTGTAAACTGACTACGCTCTTTCCCCGATAATAATGCGTTATCTCATACTTACACTTACCTCAATTTCTGGAAGGCAAAACAAAATGTTCTGTTCTCTGAACACATAATTAAAAAAGTGTTTGGTCTTTATTAATGTCCTTTTATTGTACAACACGCACCAACAAAAGTTTCGGTCCGCAGCGTTTATTAGCGTAGAAAATGCCTTTGGTATCAACAAACGTTTGATTTGGCCAAATTCTGCCCTTATTTGCCTCCAGTATACCGATCCGAACTGAACTCTTCCAGCAAACAGCATTTTGCGCCTCAAGTCAACTCAATGCACAAGATAAACAACCTCATATATATGTCAAATCTCCCATTCAAAATTTAGATTTTCACATCTAATTAGAGATTCAATCTGCTGTTATCGCGTTCATTGTCTCCCAAAGAAGAGGAAGAAGAAGAGGGGTGGGTTCGTGGACCAAGTTATATTTGAACTGACTACACTAACTAACACTACCAGTGCTTGAACAGAAAAGGTTTTCTGTCTGTGAAGACTTAATTCACAACTTACTGCTGCTCAAGGTTTTTAACTGTAAGACGCATACTTTTCCCGTTCAAATAGTTCACAAAATAGAACACCCTCGTTTCAGCTGCTGTGTAATCTCTTACTCCAAACCTTATGTTATTCCCAGAGTCCCATCGCCTGCTTTTCTCCCCTTCTTTCGCGCCTTTGTAAATCTGCTATTTATAGTGTTAACGCAGTACACTGGTGACTTAACTATCACTGTCAGCCAAAAGTGTTTTAGCAGGATTGCAAACTGTGGGCGTCAATGTACGTGCCTGAGCATTTCTCCGTCTGCAATTCAGTGTATCCTAAATTCTCAGCAAATTCTACAGACCTCACCTTTTAGGCGTTTTATTATGTCCACGTAGGCCTCTATGCGGCTACGTACACGACCATAAAACCCGCATATTCCGTTGACCCGGACCTTAACGCTCAGGCCAGGCATCATATGTGCTTCCTTACGATGAAACATACAACAGACTCGCAGCAGACGTTTGCGTAAGTTACAGGAGTCAACTTGTGGACGAATCAGCAAGAGCAGTGTTTTAATTATCTGAAACCACTGAAGATTTTTTAGAAATTGGAAAGTGGCATATGCACTTTTCATCCGAATTGCCAAAAAGACCATGATACATCACTTGCCTGACTTCCGAAGTATCCCGCTCTGATGGCACTAACTCACACAACACGAGGTTAAAGTAGTTGAAATAACCATTTCCGTGTCAAAATTACACTTTGAATGTTGATTGTGCGCTGGTGTTCAGCCCTTCACACGCTTCAGGTCAATTTTTTGGGCAAAACGAATGGTTGGTATTTCGTCCTGCGATCAGGCATGATAGAAATGCGTCCACACGTGTTTGGGAATATTTAAAATCTCAGGTGCGGCACAATTTAGGGAGCGTTAGACTCCATGACGCTGATACGTCAGTTCTGTCCCGCCCGAGTTCGTAAAATGCGTGGCTAAAGACGGAATTAACTGGTTTAGTGGCTTTGCTCTGTTATTGAATTTTCGTCGCCTAGCAACTGCTTGTGACGGTTGTAGGTCAGTTTGGAAAAGTAAAAGCGAATGCCTCACTTCCGCCCGCAGTCAGGCCAAACTAATAAACGTTACTCACACCCTGCCATATTTCAGTCTTACTGTCTCGTGCGTAACTGAGAAGATGGATTTTCTCATTTTTTTGCCCAATACATAAACTTCAATGCGCCTTGTTTTGATTCATTTAGGCATGTCCAACCTAGCCAGTCCACTCCTCTTTGTGCAAGACAATGAAGGCGCTGCGTACATTTGCTTCTGTGCCTTGATGCAGCGACTGGGTAAAAAGTTTTGTCCACAAAACCAACTCCTCACCATTGTGCAGATGCAGCACTTGCATGACCTCCTTGTCTTTACTGACTGGGAACTGGCCCAGTTTTTGCGGCTGCATAATTTGGGCAACATGTTCTTCACCGAGCGTTGGCTCCTCCTGGAGTTGGTTCGCGAATTCGCCTTCGAGGACGCCCTCTACGTTTTAGAGGTGCAGTGGGCTTCTCTGAACATAATCGCCAGTCAGGGTGAGTCGCCAGAGCTAACTGTCACTCAGAGAGGCTACTTTGTACTCTCGGAGGATGCAGCATCCGTCTTCCTGGCCTCAGAACCCTTGCCAACACCGAAGAATGGCACGAGGACTGCCGCCTACTGTCCGTCTGACGTTAAGCTCATTAACAAC